CTTTTCCCCATATTTATTTTTTCTGTTTATTATATTGTCCTATATTTTTACAAATGTATCTGTCTATGATAAGAGGAAATTTTTTAAAAGGGTTCTTTAGCAGATATAGTTGGAAAGACATTACTTCATATAAAAATTTACTTTCATATATTCATGGGGCTTCCTATACAGATTTACCACTCTTAATCCAAAAATTTGAAACCTGAATTGCTCCAAATATCAGAAAATGTCTGTGTTCCATCATGGAACTCACCTGAACTTTTAAGTGAAAAAATTCACAACTGATTTCATGGGACAAGTTGCAGTCAAATTGGAAGCACACCAAAAACATTATATAAAATTACCTTCAGACTGTGTATATAAGGTGTATATGAAACATAAATGAATTCCTTTTTAGAATCAGGTCCCTTTCCCAAGGTATCTCATTATGTGTGTTCAGATATTCTAAAATCTGAAAAGAATATGAAATTGTAAACACTTCTTGGACCAAGTACTAGCAGGAAAGGAATAACAAATCTGGATTTGTAATTGCTATAACTTTTCTGTTCTCTTTATTTCTGATTTATGTTTTGTTTTTTGAGACAGGGCTTTTCTGATCTTGAACTCACTGTGTACTCCAGGCTGGCCTCAAACTCATGGCAATCTTCATGCTTTAGCCTCCCCAGTGCTGGGATCACAGGTGTGTGCCACCACACCCAACACTTTTTATTTCTATCAAATACCCTTTAAACATTTCCACAGCAGATATTTATAGTGTATAAATGCTATAATGAAAAGTGAAATGTTATAAAATTACTAAGAAATGATTCTTCAGCTTGTTTTTGTTTGTTTTTACTTTGCAATATACATAAAATGTGACAGAACTTGACCATCCTTCCATTCTAGGACAGGAAACTCATGCTATATTTTCAGAACCATTACACTTCTGGATCCAGGCCACAGCCATTGAAGTGATGACTGCCTATACTGGACCATGCTTGGGGCATACTCGGTGCTCAACAAGTTGTTAATAGCTAAAATATTATAATTCAAGATATCCAACTTTCCAGAAGGCCAACAACTCTTCCTAGAAAATTAACAGGGTCCAGAGAAAGTCCTTTTCAGATGTGGACTAATCAAAGGGTTGAGATGACACATCACAGAGTCCTGAGGAATAAGAACCCCAGTGATAATTCCTGTTGGTAGAGAGAAAACAGCTGTGCTTCATGTTTTGTGCAGTCTCTCTGAGAAATGCGCCTCAGTTATCAGGCAAATCAATTAGAGTAAGCTGCTACACAGAAGAGGGTATTTTCCTAGCAGACACATGAAAACATGGGGGTTTCATAAACACGGGGTGTCTGCAAACTGAGTATATTAGATAATATTTGACACCAAGGACTTAACTGTCGAAATGTATTATAAAAATTTTTTGAACATTCTTGTAATTGAAAATGCACCTAACAAATTTAGAATTTGCCATTTTTTCATGAAGAGCAGATTTAATTACAGAAGTAATACATGAGGATTTTATAAAATTGGAGTAACACCAATGTGTGGACATTTACAGTACATATTTTCTGATTTGTTTTAGATTTTGTTATATAATTATAAGTCTTGTATCTCTGGTTAAAGATGCTAAAGTAACATTTACCACAGTTTGTCATTTTCTAGACTTGGCTTGATGTTATTGATATCACTGGTTGTACATCTTTAGCCAAGGTGACAGAGTTGTGTGATCAGTTGTTCTTTTCTGTATGCCAATACTGAGATTGTCTGAGGTCATAAACATTACCATAATTAAGTACCAAAGAACTGGGTGCTGAGCCAAACAGGCAACAACTTCTCATGATTAATAAATTGAAGGGACAGGATCTTCAGACAGGCTCAAAAGCCAAAACCCAGAAACCCCTAGAAGACATTTGAAAAGTAATCATTTCCTAAAAAGTTCTTGGCACTAGTAATAAAGTTACCTACCATAAGCAATTTACAAGCATCAATTCAGAAAACAAATAAAAATATAGAAAATAAGAAAGCAAAGAAATAAAATTCAACTTAAGACCTCTAGTTCACCCAGGGCAAACCCAGGGATCACTGAGGTAGAAGAAATCAAAATCCTCTCACCTGAAATTTTTGAAATGGTTGCAGCAGAAGTAAAAAAGCAAATGAATGAGTCTCTAGAAAAAACAAATCAGAAATAATTCCACAAATAACTAAAGAGAAGATGACCATAATGAAAAACATTAATAAATCTAGAGTAGATACAGATTAAAAAATAGAGGAGCTTAGGAAAGTGATGGAAACCATGAATGCCCAACGTAAGAGAGAACTGGATTCTATGAAACAGATTCAAACAGATATCCAGGAGATTAAAAATTCTATTGAAAGTATATGTGGCAGAATCAACCAATGTGAAGATAGAATATCAGATCTAAAAGACAGGTTTGTTTAATGATCATGAAATGAAACACCTTAAAAATAGCAAGGGACAATGAAAAATCCATCCAGCAGCTTCTAGATAATGCAAGAAAGAATAACACAAGATTAATCAGAATCAATGAAAAATCAGAAGATAACACCAAGGACATACAGAACCTGTTCACAGAAATAATTGCAGGGAACTTCTCACTCACAGAAAAAGAATTTGACAGACAAATAAGTGAGGCATGTAAAAGTCAAATTAGCCATGATAAAAAACTAATAGTCAAGTATAATAGTCAAGATTCCAGAAATTTAACACAAGAACAGAATATTAAAAGCTATTAGAGAAAAGAAAGAAATCACCTATAAAAGAAAACCCATCAGTCACAGCAGACTTCTCAACACAAACCCTTAAGTCAAGAAGAGATTGGAGTGAAGTATTTCAAGCCTTAAAAGACAGCAACCTCTAACTCAGATGGATGTACCCCACAAAATTATCCTTCAAAATTGCTGGAGGAATGATACTTCTAAGATAAAGATCACCTAAAGAAATTCATGGTAACCAAACCAACACTCCAAAAAGTTCTGAATGATATTCTAGAAAAAGACAATGAAGAAAAAAATTTCATAAATCCCATTAGAATGAATCCACCAGGCAAGGTAAACATTAAATAGAAGAGAAAGAAAGGGAACCAATAACAGGAAAATGTCAATATATATCAGTTATAGCAATCAATATGAACAGTCTTAACTCACAAATCAATAGAAACAGATTGGTAGAATGGCACAATATGCTGCATACAAGAAATACATTTAACTCAAAAAGAAATGCAGAGACTAAAAGTCAAAGGATGGAGGACAATAGTCCATGTCACAAGAACCCAGAAAAAAGCAGGGTTAGCTATTTTAATTGCTAACAAGGTGGGTTTCAAGCCAAGACTAATCAGAAGAGACAAGGAGGTCACTACATACTCATTAAGGAAACAATCCAAGATGAAAAGATAATAATCTTAAATATATATGCACCATACACTAACACACCCAATTATATGAAACAAATATTAATGGATATGAAAAATCAGATAAGCACTAATTGTAAAGGGGGACTCAATACCCCACTGTCTCAAATAGACAGATGAACTAGACAAAAGAAAAATCACAAAAATATCTGAGCTGAACAAAACCTTTGAACAAATGGATTTAGTAGATATCTGTAGAGTGTTCCACTCCACAACACCAGAATACACATTATTCACAGCACATGGGACTTTCTTCAAAATAGACTAAAATGCTAGCTCATGGATCATGCTGAAGTAAATGTAAAGGAATTAAAAGTCTCCTATGCATATTATCCAATCATAGTGCAAAGAAATTGGAAATCAATGACAAAAGAAACCACGAAAACTACATAAACACATGGAAATTAAAAAATACTGTCCTGTACAAGAAGTAGGTCACAGGTGAAATTAAAGAAAAAATCATTTTCTACAATTAAATGATATTGCCAATACAACATACTGGAATTTATGGGATGAAATGAAAGCAGGAGGAAAGTTATAGCAGTGAATTCCCACATCAGAAAAACAGAGCAATCTCAAATAAATAACCTAATGTTGAACCCCAAGCTTCTAGAAAAAGATCAAATTAAATCCAAAGCATGTAAGAGGGCAGATATTATAAAAGTCAGAGCAGAAATTAAAGCAATTGAGACTAAGAAAATAGTACAAAGAATCAATGAATCAAAGAGTTGATTTCTTGAGATATTAAATAAAATAGACATACCCTTAGACAAAATTAACAAACAAAAGGAAGGAAAAGACTCAAATCCATGAAATTAGGAATGAGAAGGGTAAAATCAAAACAGATCCTGCAGAAATCCAGAAGATCATCAACACCTACTTTTTGAGAACACCTATACACTACTAAGATGGAAAACTCAGAAAAAATGGACAAATTCCTAGAAGAAATGGACTGCTATTCCTAGATACATATGAATTAGCAAAGCTGAATCAAGAAGATACAACAATTTTAAATAACCTAATATTCATAATGAAATTGAAGAAATAATTAAAATCTACTAATAAAGAAAAACCCATGTCCTGATGGAATCACTGTTGAATTCTACCAGAAATTTAGAGCCATTGCTCCTTAAAATCTTTAATGAAATTGAAAGCGAAACACTATTTCCAAGCTCAGTCCTGGAAACAAGCATTACCCTGATAGGAAAACCAGAGAAGGATCCAATCAAAAAACAGAACTACAGGCCAATCTCCTTAATGAATATAGATGCAAAACTCCTCAATAAGATACTGGCAAACAAAATGCAGCAAATCATTAAGAAGATTATACAGGGTGACCAAGTAGAATTCATAGAGGGGAAACACAGGTTGTGGAACCCTAAGACGTGACCTCACTTCCTTGGCAACATCTCCAAACAGAACTTGGAACCCTTGCTAACGGGCATCACAATCTTGTAACAGCAGTCTCCTGAGCTCACTTGGCTGGAGACAGTCAACAGCGAACATGCTGAGCTGCTTCTCCACATTGAGAGGCTGCAGCCTTAGGACCCCAGGTAGAGAAAGTACCTGTGAAAGATTAATAAGATGGCTGACTCCAACCAGACACTGCAGGCCACACTGCAGCAGCCGCACAACTGTCACAGACACTGCAGGGATGGTATCCCCTGGAGTGACCACCAGTGACCTACCAAAATCAAGGTACCCCAGTGAAGTCTCCCTAAACCCAAGTATCAATGGCACAGAAATTGGGAAGAGTGTGGGGCAAGTATCACCAGGCCCAGAAACACCCAGTAGCTCTGGGCAGGCCTCCCCAGAGCTGGCATAGAAAACCTAGAGAGTCAAAGTCCAAGGAAGGGAGACCAAAGTCACAGCCACCAGCCCCCGAGAGACACAGAGCAGCCTGGTGTACATCCATCCAGGCCTGGCTGCCACTACTGGAAACATCTTCACAGAGAGCCTTGTAGAATTCTGGCCAGTATGGTCCCTGCAGACAGTCAGGCCACTCTGGTTCTCTGAGCCCTGCCTGCCTGTTTCCCTGGGCAGCCAACCCAGGCAACCCTATAGTCCCTTCTATACCCAGGCATCTCCACCACCCACACCTCTACCCGATCAGCCCTGATTTTGGGAAGAGACATCATGACAATGTCTTTTGAGAATTACAGTTCCTTTGAAGGCCTGTGTGATAAAGATCAGGATGTGTGGTGTTTGGACAATAAATAGCTTTTCACCACACACTGGGTAGAGGAGGAAGGAGAACCGAATACTGTGTCACCTCAGTTGGAGTTAGAAGAAGCTATTGGGCTTTCTGAGCTAAAGAAGGGTTCTGAGCTCTTAATTCATGCATCACCTTGTATACCAGAACATCCTAAAGTGCCTTATCCAGGAGAAGAGAAATCCATCCACCACAGAGCTGCAGGCTGCTGGAGAAAGCTGTATTGTGCAAATGGCCATGCTTTTCAGGCCAAATGCTTCAGCAGGTGAGCTCACTGTGCTGTCTGCACAGACCGTGTAGGGAGACTTGGCTGCCAGGTATATAAGTGCACCAACTGTAAACTCTCAGTTCACAAGAAGTGCCACAAACTTGTCACAACTGAATGTGGGCAGCGTTCTTTACCATCAGAGTCCACGATGCCAGTCGATCCATCATCCATGGCTTCAGACCCTGTACACACAGCAATCCTACATAATCTTTCAACTCATGAGGCATCAGAACAAGTTGATGAAGAGAGTGAGGCAGGGAACACTGGGGAAAGTGGCAAAGCTTCATCTGGTTTAGGTCTTGAAGACTTTGATTTGCTCCACGTGATTGGCAGAGGAAGTTATAGGAAAGTACTGTTAGTCCAAATGAAAAAATCAGATCATATGTATGCAATGAAAGCAGGGAAAGAAGAGCATGCCAACATTGATCGGATACAGACAAAGAAGCACGTTTTACAGAAGGCATCCAGTTGTCCTTTTCTTGTTGGACTGCATTCTTGCTTTCAGACAGGAAGCAGACTGTTCTTTGTTCTAGACTATGTAAATGGTGGGGATCTGATGTTTTATATGCAACAACAAAGAATGATTCCTGAAGAACATGCTAGGTTTTACCCTGCAGAAATCACTTTAGCATTCAACTATCTTCATCAGCGAGGGATACTGTATAGAAATTTGAAATTGGACAATATATTACTGGACTCAGAAGGGCACATTAAACTCACTGATTACTGCCTGTGTAAGGAAGGCTTACAGCCAGAAGATACAACCAGCACTTTCTGTGGCACTCCTAATTACCTGGCTCCAGAAATTGCAAGAGGGGAAGATTATGGTTTTGGTGTGGACTGGTGGAGTCTTAGAGTACTGATGTATGAGATGATTGGAAAGTCTCCATTCCATCTTGATGAGAGCTCTGATAACTCTGACCAGAACTCAAACAATAATCTCTTGCAAGTAATTTTGGAAAGAGACATTCTCATACCTCGTTGCTTGTCTGTAAAGGCTGCAAGTGTGCTGGAGGGTGTTCTCAATAGGGATCCAAAAGAACAACTGGGTTGTGATCCCCACAGGGGCTTTCCTGATGTTCAGGAGCATCCATTCTTTCAAAATGTAGACTGGGACATGATGGAGCAAAAGCAGGTGGTGCCTCCGTTTAAACCAAATATCTCTGATCAATTCGGTTTGGACAACTTTGATCCTGAGTTTACTAATGAACCTGTCTGGCTCACCTCAGTTGATAATGACATCGTGAGGAAAGTTTAAGGGTATGAATTTGCCAGTTTTAAGTATATCAATCGTCGTACAATGTATGAAGAAGAATAGGTCTGACCCTCATTTTTCAACTATGCATTCTGCTTAATGCTATTTAATGCATGAAAAAACTTATCATCCTGGATAGAATTAACCATTTCATAATTGTCTGGAAACGTATTTTAATTTCATTTATATAGTTATATTTAGATATAATACTGGCTTATAATCTATAATACAGAATATTGAATTTTTTGGTTAATAGATTTGCTTTTCATCATTTGACTTAAATAACAATAAGGTAATTGCTTGTTAACTTGTAAACACATTCCATTTGTTGAGTGGAGACAGAATGCCTAATATTTTTTCTTCTTATTTATTATACAGTAAAATAATCTGTCTTTAGATAGAATGTCTTACCTATGCTAGTTTCTCTCCAAGCCATATTACCTGTTCTTTTGGGGACTAGTTTATGTAGTCTTCAGGGAAATCCAAAAAATAACAATTTTGAATAAATCTGCAGAAAACACATATATTATAGGTCTATCTCCTTACTTAAGTTTTTTTATTTAATAGGATAATATGAAATACATAGTTGAATTCATGTCAAGGGCAGAGTTCTTGACACTATTTTTATTAAAATTAGTAGGTAGCAATTTATTATTTAAGGAGTTTCCAGATATAGCATCCCTCTATTTTAGTACTATTTTTATGCAAAGGAAAAGTAACCATCTTCATCTAAATAAGTTACAATGGCGCAATCTTAGTCAAATTTAGTTTTAGATAAGATATGTAGTTTTAAATATAAAATTATTTAAAATTTATTGGCATTTAATAAATTATCTGTTCATTTTTAGATGCCTCATTTTATAAGAAATGTAGCTTTTCCAAAGCATATATTGTCTTTTCTCCAAATAACTAAGTAGAACATAATGACAATATCAAAGGAAAATATTTTTAGACATTCATGTGTTCCTTTCTAAGGCATATATGTTTCTCTTAATGGCTGGAACTTGTTTTAAAACAAAAAGCAGTCTTTGCAACATAAAATTATAGAGAATTCTAACATGTCAGAAATATGTTTATGAACTTGCTTTTAAATGTTGCTGTTTGCTTTAGAGCCTTCAGAATGTAGAATAATCACACAGATGTTTGTTTAGCATGTTTATTACTGAACTCACATTAGAATTCTTTTGGGGCTTTGGACCTCATTTTGAGAAACACTTCCTTCAAGTTATTCTTTTGACCTCTGATTAAAGAGTAGAAAGTATATTCATAGTATACTATTTTAAGATGGTATAAGCAGCAATTTACAGTGTTATAAACTTTTTTTGAACAAATTTTAAACGAATAACTTCATTAGATATCTTCCCTGTTCCCCCAACAAACTCTTACTGGTTTTCTATCAGTAATATACAAATGACAAGCACTTTTCTTTTGAGAAGTTTTAACTTTGAGTTCAGATGGTCTTTTGTTTTTAAAACTTTGTAGTAATAAGATTGACTGTGTATATTTTATGCAGAATTGCATTAAAATATGTTTGTAACTATGTTCTATTCTTCACAGTTTTTAAGTGTCATGCCAATTCTTTTCACATTATATAGAAGTTCTCTCCAAATACTCACCAAGGGGATGAGGCAGTTTAAGTCAGAATGGTAGGCATTTTGGTGTTCCGGAAATAATTTATTTTGCATAACACTGTGATCAAATCATTTTATGCTTATACAGCCTGGATTAAATTTCAACTACTCTGTTCAGTGTTGATACATTTACTTCATAAATTTGTTTTGTTTTGAATTTGTCATGTAAAATGCTGCCTTGTTCATCATAATGTAATCTGTATTTGTGTACCTTCTTTTTCATGTTAAAAAAATCCTTAAATAAAACATTTAATACTCACCAAAACAATAAAAATAAATAAAATTGGAGTAACAAAAATTACAAAGAAAATATGAAAGTTCACTATTAATCTTATTTTTTCACATCTAACCACTATGAATGATTTCTTATATGTGCAATTTCTTATCAAAACATACATATTCATTGTTAACAAAGCATGAACGTATTTTAGAAACATTTATGACCTTCTTTTCTATAGGATACTAGATATACATATTTTCCACAGCTTGATTCATTTTTAATTTTTTTAATCTATTTTTTGAAAAAATAGAACAAACTACAGTAGACTTCAGAGTGGTCTCCAAACGTTTGAAAAGAATGGGTTTAGTTTTTCCCTTGTCCCTTCAAGGAAATTAAATCTAAGAACAACATCATCTTATCTGTTTCAGAAACTCCATTTTCTATACAATTTTCTGTGCTGCTGCCTCAGACCTTCTGTGTTCTGACACACTCGCAGAAAAGTTATGTGATGCACATTTCCACTCATGTGATGAGCATTGTGGTATCTGCTTGTTGGGTGGTGATAATTTTTGAGCTGTGACAAGTGATTTGAAGCTGGAATGTGACCCCAGATTTATAAATCTTTTTTCCCCCTATTTTCCTTTTCAGTGCTAGAGTTGAGTCACTGTATTTTGCCACTATGTTAGGTCTGGATGAAGGAAAAGGATTGCAAAATTAATAGACAATATTAATTATTTCACGTGTCGTACTAAATTCCTGAGCTAACATAAATCGTTGAGCCCAAGATTGTTGTTTAGTTTTGATGCTATTTTACATTACCTATATACTTGATTCCAGGCTACCATTATACACAAATTATACTCTGTGAACAGCTATGTGTAGTAAAATATTTGTAACTCAGAATAGTTATTATTTTTATGACAGTTACCATACCTATGTCTCCAAATAAGTAAAATATAATGATTGAATTCCAAATGCTTATTTTTATACTTAAATGTGCTTCATTTTTTGCCCTTTCTACATCTCTCAATATAAAACATTTTTAAATGATTGCAATTTTGATGTTTACTTTGATTTAAATTGTAAAGGCAAAGAAAAACCACACCCTTTTGCACAGTCATGGACTGACCCATTCATTTATTTATTCATTCAACAGGTGGTTACTGAAAATCTCTCTGTTGTGTGGCTATGCTTTAGGCAGTGAACATGCAACAGAGATGCAAAGGACAAAACTGCCAGCATTCACAGTTGCTTATATTCAGCATTTACAATGACTAGTGCTTTCACTGAGAATTTTTGATAATCCATGTGGTTAATCGCTAGGCTTCAGCTCCCAAAATGTTACACTCTGAGTGAATTTTAATCAATGGTCTCAGCAGTGTGGTCAAAGGGCTGCCAAAGCAAGTTCAGAATCAAGATAGGAATAAAACATTTAATTCCCAAGGTAGAGTTGATATCCAAGTATTGACTGTCTATTCAGTTTTCATTATCACTTCAATTACCTTTTACATAAAAATGCTATATAATACTGGTGAATTCTGAACTTTATTTCCAGTGATGGGCAACTTCTTTTTGTATATCTTCATATTTGAAGTGCTTTATATATTGCTATTTTTCTTTAAAAATTAGGAAGACTACACATCTGTGAACAGTGTCACTAATTGCCACCCATGCAGTCATTCAGTTATGGCACTGCTTTAAGAAAAAGAATCAAAATTCATAAAATGCAAACAAAACAATTTTTTAAAAAATTATTTCCTTGTCTTTTCATTCAAAACTAGCAATTGTTTGTAGGTTCTTTTGACCCAATCATCCCCAAGATAAACTAATTAACTAATAAATAAATGAATGTATATAGTATACTGTACATTTCAGGTGTCTATTCATTCAAGCTGATTAACAAGAACCCATCATATTATACACATTATTCTGTGCTACCTCTTGTATAATTAATAAAGATGTTCTCCTTATTTCCTGTTGAACTTCTCTATATTGTGTTCAGTCATATGAATATGCCATTATTTATTCTGCTCTCCCCTGCTGAGGACACTCTCTCCACATATAGATATTTCTGAATGAAGCAGATAGATAATTAAACCATTTTTAGTAACTCATAACAAAATCTCCTCGTTTTGCATTCCAGTTCCTTCAGGGTTTGTAAATATGCACTTCCTACATTTTTCTGCAAGACATGCACACATGTCTGTCTTATTCTCATCCATTCGATGTTTCTGCAAAGGAAGGACCCACTCAGATCTATGGGAGCTCCCTGACTTTCCCTACAATGGCACAGGTTGGCTTCACAAGGCAAAAACACAGGTCTTTGGTGGAATTAATCTTTCCTGGGATCCGGCTCAGGACTAATCCATAAAGAATTAGTATTCAGTTACCTGTGGCAATGAATGATATACCAAGGATGGGAAAAATCTAGAAATAAAGAATATATATATATATATATATATACATGTATATGAAAATTAGGTTTTATTCATATTCCTCATCCTACCAAAATAACTTTTGCTTTACTTATATTTGTTCCTCTAACTCGGAATAAAAACTCAAACATTAAGCAAATAAACTTGCTAGAAACATGCCAGAAAGGACAGGGAAAGGCACTAACGGCAGGATTTGCTCTTATCAATGGAAGCTGATAGTAGGGCAGGGTTATTCCTTGTGATTTATCACCATTCTCCTTAGGAACATACAGGAAAGCAGTAAAAATACACTGAAGAGCAGAGCGTTTCTCCAAGGACACGTTGGCAGCTCCGGAGAGCTTCTGGCGTCCAAGAAGAGGAATGGCGTTATCTGAATATAAAGAGCTGCGTGTCATCATAAAATTTGAGATAGAATGTATCGCTGGATTTGTAGGCAGCCCAGGACAAGAGTTGGCTGGACCGTGTTACATTTGGCTTCTTGGTGCCTCTGACAGCTGCTCCTGGAGGGGAGTCTCACTCTCCTCTCCCTGACCTCACTCATCATCTGGTGGGGCTGGCAGGAACCCGAGTCCCACGCCAACTTTCTCACAGTCGTTAGCTTCTTGTCTCGCTCTCGGTGGAACCAGGAGTTCACCGAGCAGCATGTGGGCTCACAGCGAAGCCCACAGCACCCCCTCGCCTGCTGAGGGCTAGCGAGAGATGTAGAGCTCAGCAGCAGGAAACCGCACTATGCTTTCCTTTACAACACAGTAGCAACGGTCTTGTGTACATGTTCGAATTTTATTTTTAAAATTGTCCTCCATGTCATTCCTGAAACATGGAAAGCAAGTGAACACCC